GGCAACAATTGCCTTGACAGGGTTGACCCAAGGGTCCTATCTTGTCGTTGAACTTGGGACGGAGGGACTTGGGGATCATGACTTGACACACGAACTGACAGACTTTCTTGTCGTTGTCTCTCTTGTTGCGGGCGGTGAAGGGCTTGACGAACTTGGAAAACGAGCCGCCACGGGTTCGGATGTAGAGATAGGCCAGGCAGTAATGCCCGCAGACGTACGTGTTGCAGGCTTGCAGCTGAGGCATCTTGACGACGTCCGTCATGCCGATGAGCTCTCGGAGGAGTGGATCCCGATAGGCCTCGAGGTTCGCGGATCCGTACGAGTCCATGATTTCGATGCGTTTGGTATCGRCGTCGGGAGCGTACAAGGCGATCCAATGTTGGCCGGGCTGGTCGATGGGGTCGGTATTGAACACCATGCCCCAAGGGCGGGGCGGGGCTTGCCCATCGCGGTACTTCTTGAGCAGGGCTAGGGCTTGGTCGGCGCCTTGAGTGCCGACGTAGGAGTACGTGGGGTGCTCGTGATAATTGGGAGGGTACGAGGCGACCGTGTTGATTTGAGCGGTAAGGAGTTGACTCTTGCTGTTCATGATCTAGTAGCTGTATCTCTGGGAAGCGTTCTTGTTACCATCCAACCACGTTTCTTGTTCAAAGTATCCGCTGACGACCATGGTGGTGTTGTGGGCTGTGTTGGCTGAGAAGTCGACGTCGATGTTGACGTTGCCTACGTTTCGAGCGTAGCTGTAGCCAAAGTTTTGTTCGCCGTCGGGGTTGAAGTTGTAGAGGATGAGATAATTGCCGTCCTTATACCCTTTTCGATCGATGCCGGTGGGTGCAGAGTCGATGCCACGTCCTGAGAACTGAAGAAGGGTATTGAAACCTTCTTCTTTATGATGCGAGGTCAGGTCCAATCGTTGATGGGGAATTTCTTCTCCGTCGACGGTCACACGAATGGACGATTGATTCATGTCGCAGAAGTTGTAGGGAGAACGAGCTATGTCCCCATCGAAAGCAGCACCTCGCTGAAATCCAATGATCATGTAGTTGGGTCGGTACCCCTGAAACACGTTATGCATCTGAGCCCGTCGTCGACCATCGGGAACGGTGTGGGTGACGGTTCTGTTGGTGAAGTAAGGGTAGAGGGCAATGTCTTGGTTTTCCAACATGGCAGCTTCCATCTTGATGTGCAATTCGCTGTTGACGTCCACGTGGCGAATGTGCAACTTGGGAGAATAGTTGACTATGGTGTAGGAAGCGTTAGGCTGGGTAATGGCTGTAGCCCCCACGGTGGGACCATTCATCATGACCAATTCTCGAGGGTTCCATTGAATTCTGAATTTCAATTCACAACCAGGAGTCAAGTAGCGCTGGCTGGAGAAGAGGGGGATGACGGGTCTGAGGATGAACTTGACGGCTCGGTTTTGACAGCACAATCCAACGCGTTCCTTGGCGCCTTTGTTAGGCGTTTCGCGAGTGATTGCAGCACGGATGGCGTCTCCTACTTCGGCAACCGTGGGTGCATTACCGGCCCACGCAGCGGGATTTGCGATGGCCAAATCGTTGGGATTGAGCTGATCGAACTTGTCGGGAGTGTCCGTGGCCCATCCTTCCAGGGACAGCAGGGACTTCTTTTCTTCTTCGGAGTAGTTCAGCAGTCGATCGAAGTAAGCTTCGAGATGGTAGTGATCGGCATTGACGGTCACGGCTCCTTTGTTGATGGTCAGTTGAATTTGTTTGATGAGRGAGTGAGCCACGTTGTTGATGGGGACAGCTGCCGAAGTGTTGGTCAGGAGTGCACGTGCGGCACCGGCACCGCCATTATGAAATTCCACGTCGAATTCCAGCAGGATCTTGGTCATGTCGATCCAAGTACGGGTTCGGTCCACGGTGATTTCCAAGGGGTCCACGGCCGCCGTGGCTTGCGAGTAGACTTCCCATTTGGATTTTTCAGTCGTGACGTCGATGGGCAGTCGTTTAAACAAATCGACCACGGTCCCTTTGTGTACTTTCAAGGGGGCGGCATCTTCGCGCGCGGCTTTAGCGGCGGGAGCGGCACGTCCTCCGTGTTGTCGTTTCATGACGAG